ATTTTCATTCAAAAACGCAGTTGCTATTTAAAAAAATATACTAAAACATGTGACGGAATGACACAAAAAAAAGTTACTTTTATTTAATATATTAAACTTAAAATGACTTAAAGGCTATGTTTTAAATGTTTAAATTTTGTACTATATGCATATTTTTATCAAAATATTGCAAAAGAAAGATACATTTCTTTTATTTTATAAGTATTTTTCAAGAAAACAATTTGAGCACAAATGTGAAGAATTCACTTGTCAGCCATGTGATTACTTTAGAATGCTGCCAGATTCAAAAAACTTAAAATTATCAAAAATTAAACAATAATATGTAGACTTTGGCTATTTTTGAACATATTTTTAAAATTAAAATATGCAATTCATAAAAAAAAAAATTTCACTTAAAAGTTGACACTTTCGTGGAATTGCCCTATATATATAATTATTATTGAATTGTGTAGTGTTTAAACATATAAAATTATCCTGTTTATTTCAGAATTTGAGTCATCCCATGAAAAATGAGAACAAAATGTGAAGAATATCTTGTTTCTGTTTAAGAAAAAATCTCTAATACTCTTCCTTTTGCAAAAATCTCAAATACTCAACACTCTACTGTACCCAAAATATAAAAAGCATTAAAACGACCAGTGTTTTGAAACTGCTTTGTGTGCTATATTAAAGTTTTAAAATAATAGTGTTTTAGAGGCGTGTAACCAATTTGATTCTGATATTTATTATTATTTTGTAGGTTGGATCTCACAAAGTGAAACTATCTAGAGGAAGTGAAGCAGCAGCTCCATCATTTGACAGGTTTTTCTATACTTACACTCATATCCTGAATTTTATGAAACTTCATCAGTAAAATTTTTTTATAGGTTTTTAATTTTCGACTTGCCAAAAGAGATTACCTTTCAGTTTTTTACTTTTTAATAAGTTTCAAAATAATTACTGTCAAAACCCGGTATAGTGTACTTCGGATGTAATGGACATTTGGTTGTCGTGAACTTTTTTAGTGGTCCTGTCTGAACACCCATTTAGCGAAAGTAATTTGAATTACTTCTATTTGCCCTGTGTTGGGAATTTACCTTATCAAAATTTTAACTTTCAAGATTTGGAATAATCATAATTTAGCATGCAGTTTAAGCTGTGTTCATTTTGTTAAACACGCAGTTTGAGCTTTGTTAATTTTCTTAAACATGCAGTTTGAGCTGTGTCCATTTTATTAAACACACTTAATTTCAGCTGTGTTCATTTTGTTAAACACACAGTTTGAGTTGTGTTAATTTTGTTAAACATGCTGTTTGAGCTGTGCCCGATTTCTAAAACACGGATATTGAACCACGCCCAAAATAAAAAACTTACCGACAAAATTGTCACTACCAAATAGCAAATCTATATTTAAGCTTATTTAACTGTTCTAACATTGTTATTCACTTTTGTTTCTAGGCATTTAACACAAATCTTAAACCGCTATGGTGATCAAGTTATACTTAATTTACTTGGCTCAAAAGAAGGTGAAGCAATGCTAAGTAAAATGTTTCAAGTATGTCATTTTATTACAAATTTTCTATTTTTACATTATATTTTTTCAAATGCTTTTTCCACTTTAATATGTATTTTTTTCAAAGTTTATATGAAAATTTGAACTACTTCTTTTTTCTAATGTATTCTATTTCTTTAATTAAAATCATGCATTGAAATTTTAAGTAGAATGTATGTTCAAATTCGATGAATGCCTTTTTTACAATTTTAATGAGTGATTAATTATGGAGTTTTAATATTGTCCACTTCATCATTAATACTTGATTAAATATGCTCTTTGAGTGGCTCACTGCCTATAGTTCTTTCACGTTGATTTACATGAATTGTTTGATATCTGATCCATCATATTGATCTGTTTGCTCTTGTTAAAACTCCAAGTTTCTAATTTTTCCTTCTTTCTTAAAACATACCACTTAACTATATTTATCTCTAATACCAAATTTTGTAGTCGAAAGTGGTAGACTGAGTTGAAATTGAAAAGTAAAAAAAAAACTCAAACTCTTATGAGTTATACTCCATTAATGAAATTATAATAGAATAGTTGAAACTTTCCTTTCTAAACAATGTAATTTTGAAATTAAAAATATGTAATTTCATTAATGGAGTATAACTCTTATGAGTTATACTCCATTAATGAAATTATAATAGAATAGTTGAAACTTTCCTTTCTAAACAATGTAATTTTGAAATTAAAAATATGTAATTTACTTTATCAGGGTGCATAGTGTTTTTAAAGGTGCTTTTTCATCAGGAGATTTTAAAATGTGCTTATTTTTCCTAATTCCAAAATAAGAGTTTTTTTTTCTTTACCTTGTAAATTTTCACCGTGAATTACGCAAAAGCTGGGATTTTCACATTATTCCATTCAATGTTTTTAATATTCGTTCTCTCACAATCTATTTCTCTGTACCACCAATCCGTAGCATAGGAAAAAGCCAGGTTTACTTGTTTGATAAAATCATTTTATGTGTTGCAAATCCGCATGTGCATACTCTGATTCGATGGGGAGGAAACTTGCAATGTCATCTGCAGCTCTTCTGCATTTTGCCGGAGATTCACGATTTCAGGTTACATTTTCCACCCACCAAAATCGAGCTGAAAAATCTCCCAAGTTTTGGCTAATCCTGAGGACTATTGTCAAATTTTTTGCCCAAAAGAAAATTTTACTTCTCTTGCGTGCTAGAAGCGTTCTTAAAATATGGCGAAATACACAAGAAGTAAGATTAACATTAAGGGGTTCAAACTTTGGACCGCTCTCCTGACTAAACTATTTGGACCATATTTCTCAAATTGTGGCTAGTCACGCTATTTTGAGAGTCAGAAATCCAAATCCGTCAAAAAATATATGTTAATTCAGATATAATACAGATTGTATCTGATTTTGTAATTAAAAAAAATATTGTCTGCACTACTTAATTAGTATAATTAAAGTCACTCTCTCAAACTATTTAAAATTGTGTTTTAGAGCATGAAGATCTGATCATTAGATCAAAAGTTATTCAGGGTGGTGGTTGATTCATGAGCTGTACCTGCATTGTTCCAAAAATGTCCTGATTTTTGTTGGAGAACGATTTCCTGAATTTTTCTTTGGCCCTCTCCAGGAGCTGGATATCCAGAGGGAAAAATGGCCGGCCAGATCTCCTGACCCGAATTTCATGTAACATTTCTGGGATGCTCTTGAAAGTGAAATTACAGCTTTTTACCCCTTATAGAACTCTCCCAGAACTAAAAATTGTCTTACCTTATGAGTGGTATTTATTATTCTCATTCCTACGATTTATTTTCCGAAAACATTTCTCAACCTCATAAACAGCATGAGAGTTTATTTTCTGATCAGGATTGCGATTAGAAGGGTTTATATCCCGCAATAAATCTTCTACAAGTGCAAAGTTGTTATTGCATTTTTGACCTACCAAATTACGATGCCCATTAACTGGTGACTTTGAATATTTGCTATCATAAATTTTGTTGTACTTAAAAGTATTTTTGTAAAATATTTCCCTTGATTTGGCTCACTAACTCTTGTGTTATCCACATATGTCTTACCATAACAAAGCATGCAAATTTCTTTATCAATTTCATATGTTTTCTTATTATTCTAATTCATTTACACAATTCTAGTGCTTCCTGAAACTGTAAATAATTTTTTTCTTCACTTTTAGAGTCACCACAAAGTCTCACGCTATTGTAAAAACATTCCCTACATTGCTTTTGATTATCATGCTGAATGTCGTGGAGGACGATATGAAAATATAAATATTCTGGGAAAGAAAATAGCTCATCAGCTTGAAAGTTTTAGCTTTTTCTACAAAGATTCAGAGGGAGCTCAAAAGTAATTAATTATTTTTTTTCTAAAGATAGGTACTTTATTTATGTTGCACAGTGAGATATTGGCGAGACAGTCTGAGGAAACATCCCTGAGGATGATCCGAAAACATACCATCGCAATTTTGATCCTCTGCAGAGGNATCTGCTATGGGACTTTTTTTGTCCTAAAAGTTAGAAATACTAGAATTGTTTTATCAGTAACAGCTTACTTATTCTTAGACAGTGGATGCCAATACTTACTACAACAAACAGTATCTGCTGCTGAAAAAGGTTTTTGATAGTATTTTGATTCTCTTTGTCGAGGTTATCATCTTGAAGAAGAGACATCACGACGCATACTCTGTGATTGTGAGGTCTATTCTGCTCAAAGATTTGAGCATTTAGGGCAGCATTGCGTCAATGCCTGGGAACTGCAAGATGTTCCTGTAAGATGTTTGCTGAATTTTATTTCAGCTATAGGGCTTTCATACTAATCATGATTTAGGGTTTGGGTACAATAGACCTCTGGTCGATGTACCCTGTTCGTTAGAGCTACCCAACCTCTAAGTCTAAGATAGTAAAACAATTATTTTATAGTCTCTAAGGTTGTAATGCTTGTTTAGGTAACGTTTTTAAAGACCCTAAGACCCCTTTCAGCCCTTAGTTTTAAATCATTTGGAAAAATTTTGTAAACAAGCAATCATGTGTGGATTAAAGATTTTAAGGAAACTGAAACGCCTTCAAATATGGGCAAGCTTCACTGACTACTTATTCCCCCCCTTTTTTTTTAAAATTCTTACATTTTTCTTATTTGTTTTTAAACGTATTTTCTAGATTTTACCATTTTTCTTTAACCCTCCCTCTTTTACTGTGTTCTTGTTTAATAAATTTCTTATCTAACTTACTAACTTGCAATCAACTTATCGCCAGTTGAAATTGATAAGTTAAAGCAATTGCAATCTCTTCTGTCTCTTGTCTCTACAAAGTTGTCACCTGATGCAGTAGTGGTCACTTATCGATTTTCAATTTGATTTGAAGACATGTTATTGTTTTGTGGAGTGAGATCTTAACATAGTTTAATGCAGTTAAATGAAAACGTTGCAAGCCTAATGGCCTCAAAATACACCAGAAACAGTAACCCGAAAGTATAGGCATTATAAAGCCTGCAGCACTCCCTAGTGACCATCCATCCAATGACCAACCATCCTTGACACCATCCATAAACTATTACTAAGTTCGATAACATTTGGTCCTGTAGTTTTCCTTTTATGACCATTTCAAAGTGGTCCAATTTTCAGTGATTCGATTTTCTTTAATTCAAACCACCCTGTATATCAACATTATTTTAGTATTTTCGTAAGCAATTTGAAAATGGTGGCATTAAGAATAGTCTCCTCTCTCAATAAATTTTATTTGATGATGTTAATGAGGCATGCCCATTCATGTTTATGCATATTTAAAGGAACTCTAAAAGTGAAAATAGTTCATATGAAATATATTTTAGTCAAAACTTTTTATTTGTCTATAATTACTAAATTTATTTTTCTGACATTTTTCTTTTGTAGTCTCCAGAAAGGAACATTCCGTACTAATTGTTTAGATTGTCTAGACCGAACAAATAATGTTCAGACTTATATTGGGTTAGAGGTAAGTTTTATTCAGATAAGAATGATAATGCTAATCACTTGAAAATTATGATAACATTTAATTGCAATTGTGTGATGAATTTTATAACTTGTATAAACTAAAGATTAATAATTTTTATTTTAAAATATCAGAAGTATCCAAACAAGCAGTTTACCATAAATAATTTAAAAAATAATTTTTTTTTAATAATAAATGTAATAAACTTAATATATTTATATTTAAGATCGAGTTAGTTAATTTTTTTCATAATCTAGATATTATTTTCAATTCAACTGGAGGGAAATGAACACAGTTCTTGCACTAAAGAGAGGATTTACAAATAGAACTAAAGCATCAACAGTTGAAGTATAAAGAAATAAAAGAGAATTATTCAATTTAGCTGATTTGGTGGAATCTGATTTTTTTGCAATTAATGAAAAGAATTGGAGATCAAAGATAAATCAGAAGTCCTTCTGGATAAATCTGCAGAGGAAGGCATTGGCCCACATTGCGCTGTCTGCTTGAATAAAAAAGTCACTTAAAAAGCATACTTTACGAGAATGAAAGAGTTTTTATTTAATGTTCTTAATCGTTTTTTGTTTTACATTACTTTGGTGCTTTTCTGCAGCAATATTTTGCCATTTTTTTTAGGGATAACAGGAATGCTGGTGTCGCCTCTTCTTGTTGTTCTATATATTTAATAGCACTTTCTATAGCTTTTACTCCATCTGTATGAGAGATTTTTATATGTTGATTTTCATCAGCACTGTCTTCATAATCTTTGCTAGATTCATTTTCTTTATTGACGTTATTAACATTAATTTCATCAGATCAAGTTGTTAGATTTCATTTTCCTGTGTGTTTGTAAGATGAAATTCAGAATTTTTTTCGGCGGTAGTTATAAAAATAAAAAACAAACTGGAACAAGAAAATTATTAAAATATTTTATATCTGGGTTAAAGCAGAAAATTGAATGATCGGGACTCTACCATACTAATAATACTTTTTTTTTTTTTGTTGCTCTATTTATAATTTTGTTTTAACTATTTTGTTAAGTTATTCAGTTATAAATATGTCATATTTGATTTTTATTCTTTTACTTTTAAGATATTACAGCATCAACTGCACCACCTATCGATTGGTGATCAGCCACAAATTCTTTCTCGATTTAGTGAAGTATTCAAACAAATGTGGATTCAAAATGGTGATCAAGTTTCAAAAATGTATGCTGGGACAGGCGCTTTGGAAGGCAGGTCCAAAGTATGTTTATTTTAATTTTCTGTGTGAAAATGCAATTTTTATTTTTTAACTTTATTCTTTTATAGTTTTTTCCATATCTCTCTTCTTGACCATGAAACAGAAGTAAGCCGATGGAAAAAGTGGAAAATATTATTTCAGATATGTTCATTTAATTTTCGCAAATAAACTAATGGTTATTTCAATATCTTTTAGAACACAGAATACAAGAGATTGTCTACATGTTATTTTGACAAAATTTTTAAGAGGTAATTTTAGTATTGCACGTTTTGCCAGCTTTTAAGTTTGTGAAAAATCGTCAGTCTTGTGTAACTTACATGAAAAGAAATTTTTAGCATTGCTCAAATTATATAAAATAGAAATTAGTTTTGAAAGATCTAAGAAAAGGCAGACTTGCAAAATTAATTTACTAGATTACAAATCAGATAATTTTATTGCATTTAATTTCTGATAGGATGTCTACAACAGTTTAAGAAGTTATATAGTTTTCTCTCAAATTAGGGTTGTCAAGTTTTTCTTTTACACAATTTTTTTTAAGGTATAATGTCGTTGAATTATACTCTAACACTAAAAAATTTTAAAGATAAAAAGTAAAAATGAAAATATACTTGTTATGTAAAGCCGAAGGAAAGAGTAGTGTTGATTAGCCACCTTGCCCACGAGGCCAAAAGAGTTTTATGAGTATATTTTAAAAGATAAATGGAAAAAAGAGCATCAGAAAAGAAAGCACTGGAAAGGAAGCACAGGAAAACAGAGCACCTAAAAATAAAATAAAAACTGAAAAAATCACCTGAAAATCAGTTTCTAGGATTAATTAGATTTACTTAATTAGATTTATTTTTTCTAAGTGTCGAATTTCTTTGTAATCTTTTTACATACTTTCATAAATAATTTCAATTAATACTTGTATGTACTATGGAAAATTTATGAGAAAGAATTTTTTTTATTGTATTTATATTTTTATTGTACTTATTTATATATTATTGTATATATTTTATTGTATTTATATTATTTATTATTATATTTATATTATTATTATATTTATATTATTATTTATATTATAGATTTTTTTATTTTATGCTATTATTGCTTCTCAGCTCACATTTAATATTAATTTGGAAAGCTTAGTTTATAAAGTAAAAATAAAACTTGACATCTAAAAAAAAAATTTTTTTTTTATCAGAAAGAAATATTTAAAATATACTTGTTATTCAAAAATTTGTTTTCAAAGTTCACTTGTTAATTATAAATTAATACTTATTTGACTTAAGCATTAATTAAAGTAAATAATATTAAGGTTATTTATTTTGGACTGTATTTTTAGGTTAAAATCATTTCCATTTTGATTTTAGTACTATGCTCTTTTTAAAAGCAACAATAGTTTAAATAATCAATTTTATTTCTAGTTCACATTTATCACTTATTATTTTTTTTTCTAAAAAAAAATATTTAAAATATACTTGTAATTGAAACAATTGTTTTCAAGGTCACTTGTTAATTATAAATTAATACTTAATAGACTTAAGCATTAATTAAAATAAAAAAATATTAAGATTATTTATGTCAGACTGCATTTTTAGGCTAAAATCATTTCCGGTTTGATTTTAGTACTATGCTCTTTTTAAAAGCAACAATAGTTTAAATAATCAATTTTATTACTAGTTCACACTTATCACTTTCATTACTTTGAATCAAAAATCTAAAAATACACGTACATCGATTGTAAGGTTATGTCATGACTATTAATCAGTCATTAAATTAATATGTCTTTAAGCAGTTGGCTTACTTTTTTAAACTTCTCCCTGTCAAAACTTAATATTCTGTTTTTTTTTTGTGGTATTACATGGATTTTCCTTTTGGTGCTACTTTTCCAGCACTTTTTTTCTATTCCTATGCTTTTTATGGGGGCTTTTTTCTGGTGCTTTTTTTCGGTGATTCAACTTCCTAGGAGGAGCATTTGATTTGAGAAACTAGACGTGTTCAACCTTTGGTCATTCTTAGCTAATTACTATTGATTGAATTAATAAATTTCATTATATTTTTTGTATTACATTGCATAGTATATTTCTCTTCTTTTTTTCTTCTGTCTCTTGATGATCTCACTTATCTGTTTTAAGCTTAAAGATGGCTCTCGCTCCGTAGTAAGAACAATACAAAACAATCTTCTTGACAGCAGTAAACAAGAAGCGATTGATCTGCTTTTACTTGGCAACTTACTCTATAATGATATAGCAGAAAGAGCACGAATGGTTCTTCCACCAAGCATGCTTAACTGTAAGTATATATATATATATATATATATATATATTTGTATTGCTAACTTATATTTGAAAATACTTAACACAGCATATCTAACCTGCCTATATCACAGGAAAAGAAAATGAGGTAGAGAGGTTTCAGGCTGTAAATGTTTCAATACGCTCAATTAAAAAAAATTTCATTGCTCGTGTGGTAGAAAAATGTATGATTACATATTGATCATACATACATGCACACTGTTTTTTTTATATATTTATAAGAACCTTTGAAACTAAATATAGTCCTACAGTTAATTTTGACATCTAACTTTCTTTGATTCTATGGTTTTTCTAAAGTTAGAAAGAATGAAGAATCCCTCACAGGGTTGCCACTCCACAGGGAGAATAGGAAAAACCTGGAAAATACAAGGAATTTAAAAGTCACCTTAAGTAAAAGGGAAAAATGTAGAGAAATTTGAGTTTTTCTGTAGAAACTGAGAAAATACAGGCAATTTTGTTTCTTATTTTCGTCTTTTAAAAAATGGTAACCATTCAAAGTGCAATCAATGACTTATTTAAGGATGACATTTCAACTACATTAAACTAGCTCATTTACTATAGCATTATTTTTTCTCTAAAATTTTTCCAGCAATTATAGCTAGTGTAGTTAGCCCAATACAGTTCATACAAGATCATGGTGACTTTGTGTTTTTCCTCTTAATATATTGTGTATAATATGCAAAAGGAAAACACAGGAAATTTTTTTCTTTCAGATTTGAGTGTCAACCCTGTCTCATCGTCAACACTTATGCTAAAATTCCAGAAAAGATAAGATATTGTTCAGAGTTCTACAATATAATTGTTTCAATATGATTGCTTTTCTGCTTGTTTTGTTGTCCTGCTGATACACCAGAATGCTCTTCATCTTTTGAAAGGCCCCTCACATCATCAATGATCTGCAGATCTATCAAGTTTACGTTTCAAATGTTAAAAGAAAATTGAAAATACTTACTATACCACTTATACCAGTGTTTTCATCATAGAAAAAAAATGAGTGAGAATTTCTCACCCTTTCTCAAAAACAGGGTGAGATTTCAAAAAGTTAAGTGAGATTTCTAAAAACTAAAAAAAAAACACAGACTTAAAAAAAAATCATTTCTTTAATTATAATACATTTTTAACGTCTTCTATTTTTTAAATCATTGAACATTTTTGCTGCATCATCATAGAAGATTTTGCCTTTACAAGATATTTGTCCATCTTGCATTAGTGCATAAAAAATTTGAACATCTTGCATGAAGAAACCTTATTTTCGTTAAACACGTGGTTGCAGAGAAATGTGTTCTGAAAGGAGTTCCGTGGTTCGGAGGGGTAGTGTTCTGTTGTTCGAAAAGGTTCTGAGCAATACTGGTAAATAGGGAAGCTAGATAACCGGGCAGATGTTGAAAATAATGAAAGATCCAGGAAGAAAAGTGAAAGGATTTTATTCTAAATGGCGTAATGCGGAGCTTTTTCCAAAATGCGAGAAATTCACGAGTTTTGAAATTGATTTCTAGAATGCACGGATTTCTCGGGGTAATAATTTTTTAATGTGAAAAAAGAAAAAAATATGCGAGATTCTTGCATTGTAGTAAAAATACTGTATACCCCTATAATACTTATACCACTTACAAATCTTGGCATAGGTTCAGCGTGAGTAAACCAATCGACACCTTCGTTCCTCCATTTCACCCCCATTAGAGACCTGCTCCCACTTGTTACCATAGTAGCAGAGAGCCCCAGGCTAGTCTGGAGGATTTCTCCTCAAAGCCACACTGTACAATTAGAGTTTGCATACAAAATTTACTCTTTAACAACTGCCACGATTTTGTACTTACACTTTATTCAGCTGGAATTGATAGCGAAAGTAAACAAAGCTACACTTGGCATTACCTTTGTCTGATTGTTGACTAACTTATGACAAGCAGCTGTAATCTGACCAATGGTAAGCAAGAATAGAACTGCTGACTCAGCGAAAAACCAGCTGATATAGTTAAGCAATAAGCTGCTAACTGCTATGTTTACTTCCACTATCAGTTCTCACTCAATGGAGTGCAAAAGTATATTAGGGTACATTTTTTATTTATATCTCCAAATTTATTTTCTTAGCAAAATTGAATTCGAATTTTAACTTTGGAATATTTTCATTTTCTGTTGTACTTTTATTTTTGGTATTTTATTGTAGTTATATTGTACTTTTATTTTTGTTGTATCTTGTGCTAGGTAGCCAAATGCAAAATTAATTATATGTTGCTAATTTGTCTTTTAGTTCCGCCTGGATTTTTAAGAACATTTTATGAAAAAAGAGTTGAATTTACATCACCGTTTAGAATTAAACTTGGCGTTGCTACTTGGAATGTCAATGGTGGGCAACATTTTACAAGCATAGTATTTAAACATCAATCTATGACGGAATGGCTCTTAGATTGCCCGAAGTTGTCTTCAAAATCAAGTAATACTGTTTTAATATTTTTTTAAATATATGAAATGCAGTAGAAAGTCCTATATTTGCACATCCATTTTCTGGAAGCATTTATTTTCCGGACACTTTTTAATAATCAATAAACAAATATCTTTTCCTTTTTCAAAAAACAAAAGAAAAGCTTTTTTTTAAACGTATATAGCTTGTTCTAAAGTTTTCATTATTTTTTTTTTAGTATCCCTTGTTGTATTTAGGATAGTTCAATATTTATAATGCTTTAATAGACAAGAGCAGTTCAAGAAGAACAAACTTAAGTAAGAGAAATAGGATAGAAATATTAATGCAGCTGAATAATGTTTGAAAGTAACTTCTGCTGATAGGCTTTGAATTGATCTAAATTATAAGTATTTTCATTAAAAATATAATACAAATAATAAATACTCTACTCCTGGTTTGGCAATAGTTTTTCTTTCTTTTAGTTAAATCTGTCTGATTTTCATTTCCAATTGAAGCTTGTTTTTAATGTCATTTTATCTGAATATCAGCACTAATACTTCTTCTCATCAGATAATAAAGAAGAGAAAGAAAGCATGTCTTTTTTTATGGAATAGGAAGCTTAACTTCGTTTCTGCTTTTTTCTAAAATTTCTTGTTTACATTTTATTCGTGACATTTATACTATTATATTAAAAACTCTATAGTTAATTAAATTTCATTTAACTAATCGCAAAACGTCTTTGTATTGAAATTGATATATATTAACGATCATTTATTTCCATTTATTATTATTTTCTTATTGAGTTACATATGTTTCGATCTTTAGTTACTTTAAAAAGAGCTATTTTTCAGAAAAATCTTATTTTCCGATCTTGCTAAATTTAAGACAGTTCTGGATACAGTACTTTCTACTGTATTTATAAAGTGTTGTCGTAACTATACTTAAAAAAAAAATTTGGGCTTACAATTTAATATTATTTTTTACTTATTATAATAAGCATGCACATTTATTCATATACAAATTTTTTAACAAATGTAAAAATTTGTTGTCCAAAGGTAAAGGAAAATGAAATGGAATAATTTAAATGGGTAATCAAAGATTTTTCTACAACATTTTTTTTAATAAAATATACTTTATTGATTAAATTATATGAACTCATCAGAACGTGCATAATTTTTTTTTATCTGAAATAATATATATTTGATTCTGATGAATTTTTCATATAGTTGAACCTCACTAACGCGAAACCGCTTTACGTGAGATTGATTTACATGATATGCATATTTGGGTCCAGTGAGTCAGCATTCAATGATCGTTGTATTTTGCATGTTTAAAATGAAATTATCCAGCTGATTATCGTTTAACATGCAAGGAAATAGCACAAATAATAAATAATTAGGTATGGTAGTATAGTATGTTATAGTATAATACCTGACTGAGTTATTGTAATGAATAATGAATAAAATCCCAATCATTCATTTTGAGGAATGCTATTTCTGTTTTCTTCCTTTGTTAGAAGTAGCAGATCGAAAAATAAAAATAGTTTAATAAAGTAGTTATAATTTTAAAGCTTATTTTAATTTGTTTAACTCATAATAGAATTGTTTCATACATTAATGAAGTACATAACATGCATTTATAATACAAAATAAATTGTTTTCATTATGAATCGGATAAAACAAAATTTAGTTAGCATGAAATAATTATGATAGTTGTGCTGGCTTTGTGTTAATGAGGTTCTGTATTTTATACTCAAATACTGACAGTATTCAGGAATTTTGCTTAAAATTTTGTCATTTATGTGCTTCAAATTTTAGAGACTACTTTTCACAGATGAAGATGTACTCCCAAGTCTTGCAAATTCAAAACCAGTTTTCTTATCAAAATATGAAGAATGAGTTTCTTAAAAAATATTTACATATAAAAAAAGTAACATTTAACAAAGACTAGATATTTTTAATTTTCATAATTTACAGCATTGATTCTTATCTTTTTTTTTTTTAAGGTGGTTCTTTCAATTATCCTAACACAATTAATTGGTGATCAATGATAATTTATTTCAACACTGTTTTTAATAAATATAAATTAAATTTTGTGTAAACTAATAAAGCTGATTGATGTTTTAGGTTTAATAGATGTAACAGCAAGTGAAGAAAATAGTGCTGTTGATATCTATGCAATTGGGTTTGAAGAAATTGTTGACTTAAATGCTAGCAACATTGTTTCTGCAAGGTGAGTAAAAAAATTTTTAACTTAAGAATATGTATTTGTTAGATATTTCGAATATGTATAATTTTTTGAATTAATCTGTTCAAGCCCCTGTTAGGGGAGACTGGACCCCCTGTCAAGCAAAGTTTGGCGCCATCCTTTTAAATATTCCCACGGAACTGAAGCTGTAAGATTACTTGATTCAAAACTTCATTTCAAATCACTTTTGTTTTTTCTCATTCACGTCTGACAAGTCTTGAAAATAGGCGACTGTTACTTTTAATTTGTGTATTTTCAAAGTGAATGAAATTTTTAATCAAGCAATCAATTAGTTATTTCAGGTTCTAAGAAACAATAATCGAATTGTTTATTTCAGATCTGACGCAATCATACTTAGAATTTTAAACATGTTTAGATTATCCCTAGAATATCGATAAAATTATTTTTGATATGTATATTTGGTCTTGAAGTTATATTTATTTTATACATTATTTCTACATTACCCTTTTTTCCAATCTTTTGATCATTTTTTTTATTTGTCATGTTTGTCTTTTAATATACTATAAAATCAAAATAAATTTATATTTGCAGAAAATTTTATATGTTTTAATTAAATCCATTCATATGAATTAAGTACATTAATATGTTTCAATTAAGTACTCATTTTTTTCTTTCATTTTGCAAATTCTTGATTTCAGTTCTGAGAAACAAAGAGAATGGATGACAGAATTGCAGAAAACTATATCGAGAAACAATAAATATATTTACATAACATCTACTCAACTTGTTGGAGTCTGTCTTTTCGTGTTTGCATTACCAAAGCATGCACCATTCATAAGGTAACAGTGTTTTTTCTTATAATTTGTAGCGTAAATTATTATTTATTTTGCCCACAAGAGGCAAAAGCAATTTTTCTAAACCAGCTATTGTCATTTCCAATCACAATTTAAAATTGTGCCTTTCACCACTGCCTTGATTTCAAGACACTATTGCAAATAGTTCTGGTGTTATGAGAAAAACACAATAACTAATAAATTTTTCATTTTAATATTATATATTAAAGTACAGTAGAGACCCGACTATCTGAGTTAATGGGAACCGTGACTAACTCGGATAACCGAAAAACTCAATTAAAGCAAAGAGTATAAAAAAGAAAAGAAAAAGAATAGGTATAAATGTAATATATTTAACAAATACAAAACTTATACTAGTACATCACATACAATTCTTATTATAAATAAAAAATCCTACTTAAAAACACTGAAAGAGCATACTTTACGAGAATTAAAGAGTTTTTACTTAGAAAAGTCCCCAATCGTTTTTTGTTTTACACTACTTTGGTACTTTTCTCCAACAATGTTTCGCCATTTTTTTAGAGACAACAGGAAGGCTGGTGTCACCTCTTCTTGTTGTTCTATATATTCAATAGCACTTTCGATAGCTTTTAGTCCATCTGTATGAGAGATTATTATATGTTGATTTTCATCATCACTGTCTTCATAACCTTTGCTAGATTAATTTTCATTATTGATGATATTAACGATCATTTCATTGGTAATCTGGTGTTGTCTGTCATGTTATTTTCCTAATTTTTTGGAAAATAAAATTTGGAATTTTTTTGGCTGTCATTTTTAAAATTAAAAACTAACTAGAACAAAAAAAAATCCTTGAAATATTTGATAGCTCGGTTATAGTGGAAACTCGGATAATCGAGACTACTTTAGTTGTAAAAAATAAATAATATAAATACCAAAGCATTAAAATTGTGCAAAACCATTACGAAAAAATAAATTACTCATCAATATACCATACACTTAAACGCACAATTATAAAGATCATGGTACAAAAAGATTCCCTAGAGAATATTCTAGACCAAAGGAACTATTACATATTTGTTGTATAGAATTCATTTTTATATTTGAACTCTATAAACTAAGAAGACTTTGTCTGTTTTATGTAATGTTTTAATTGAGCTAAATAAATGTGTTTTAGGAATGAATGTACTTTTTCAATAATTCTATCAGACGTTAATCTAACATTTAAATGTGATAAATTAACTTTCTATCTATTGACAACACTATAGTTATTATTCATTTTCTTAGATTCTTTTAAATAATAATTTTTAAGTAATATTAAAGAAATAGTTATAGGTTAACTATTTATTAAGATTCATTTTATTAGCATTTATATCATTATATATTCATTTTATATTCATTTATCGTCCTAAGTAATTATTTAATTAGTATGTTATACATAAAGTATTTATTTTGAACAATTTTTTATTTTTATGGAAATAAAACTTAATTACAAATTAATTATTTAGATTTATTTTTGATCCTGTAGAAATTTTAAACATAAATGGTGCTATGGTACCACATCCAGTTATACCACAACCAGTTATATTATTATTGCTTTTATTCAGCAATAGCATATTGATTTTATTCGTTACTCAAGTTATTGTTTGAGTAATGGGTGAGGAAGTAGTACATAATGGAGTATTGGGGTGAGTTTGTCTTATCACAATACAGATATGGAATTTACGAGTAAAGTTTTGATACATCATGCATAATCATAAAAGTCAAAATTGGAAATTGTGTCAGCACTTACAGTTAGCAGAGTAAAAAATATATTTATAAATCTTAATCTAAATAAGATTTTAAAACCATTATTTATTATTACTTAACCTTCAAACACTCAACATTCTGCAGTACTGGCAATAGCACCATCTATTGAGGAATAAGAGAAGTATTTTTGCCATCAGCAGATATTTTATCTCCAATATTGTTTTTTAAAATTTCTTCAACAAATATGGAGAAATTTTAGAATGTACGGGTAAACAGAAGATAGTTGTAGAATACAGGAGTCTTGGCAGAATTAATTTTAATACTTCTGCTGCCTATTATGCTGAAGCATCCCGAACTCATACTTATGGTGGTTTGTGCGATTTAATGGTCGCCGGACAAATTTTCAATTATTACTAGAATTCAATACATAAAGAACTTCGACAATATTATGGACATCTCTTGAAAATAGTTAAAATGGAGATCAAAGTACTTCCGTGCAGGCAACAGCTAGACACTGAAAAAATATGTAACCTGAACATTTATAAAAAATATGTTTTCATTTAATAGGGATGTTTGCATTGATGCAGTGAAAACTGGACTTGGTGGGACCACTGGGAACAAAGGGGGAGTAGGCATTCGCATGTCTGTCTATAACACATCCATGTGTTTTGTTTGTGCTCATTTGGCAGCTGGACACTCACAAATATTTGAGCGTAATGCAGATTATCAAGAAATTTCAAAAAAGCTATCATTCCCAATGGTAATTACACTTTTCATTGTTATGTTAATATTTTCATTATTATGCTTCATTGTGTTATGTTAATTATTGATATGTTATTTTTTTTTCCACAGGGCCGTAATTTAGACTCTCATCATTATATATTTTGGTGTGGAGATTTCAATTATAGGATTGATTTACCTAATGATGAAGTAAGAAAACTTGCAAAAGCAGGAAATTATGCTGCTCTACTTGCTGCAGATCAATTAAAAAGTGCTCAGCAAGCTAGGCAGGTAAATGATTTGAAATGGTAAATTATTTTATATACACTGGNACTGTTCTTTCCATTCTATTTCGAGAAAGATAAGTCCGTCAAGTATTAATTCTCTTAAGAGACACATTCTATATTCTTTTCCTTAATTTATGATAACCAGTGTATTAAGTTTCATTTCCCTAATTCTGAAAATTAGGAAAATAAGGATTTTTTTTCCTTTGTCTTCTGATGCTTTCAGCACTTACTTTTTTTCTGCCTGTGCCTGAGATCTATTGTAAAGAATTGAGAATACATTGATTAATTTATTTATATCTTTTCTATGAATATATATTTGAAGTTAAAAATACAAAGACATCAAAAAGTATATTTTTCCATGTTTATATTTTTAACTTATTTTATGGGTTCTATGTACTTACAGCTTACATGCAATAAATAAAACTTATTAATATTTTTCTTAATTTTCTCCGTTAATCTCTCTTTTCTTTTTTGTCTTTATTGTGATATATATATATATCCAGGGGTCTGTTTAGAAGAAATTTGGTTTCATTAACTGACCCTTCACAAAATATCTTTTCATAAAAACGGACCCTTCACAAAATATTTTAACTAAAAAACGGACCCTTCAGAAGATAATTTATCTTTTAATCGGACTCTTCACAAATTTAATTATCTTCATTATTGTTCTGTTAATCAAATAAACCCTTTCCAGGAAGGGGGGGAGAAAGACATATGTAAACGAACTAAATTTTATTTTCGGCAGACACTTCCTTCGGCAGAGTCTTCCTTTATTCGTCCGAAATGAATATTCTGCTTTCAGCAGTATAGGCTAAATACCAAATATTTATATGTTGCATCGCTAATTTAGTAGCTGCAATTGCTGTTTATCTTTTAAAATTTAATTTTTTTAATCATAATTTTACAGTTTTAAGCATAATCTTGTACATCTTTACAATTTAAAAATTCCTTGAAAAATTTTTTTTTGCAATAACGGAACCTATTTGCACAAATTTACAGAAGCAGACCCTGGTTGAAAGAATGCGACTTAATGTTAATTTTATCTTCACAAATTACGAGTAATTGTTTCACAATTTTACAAAAACGGACTCTTCACAAAATGTCTGGACAGACCCCTGATCTCACACACACACATATATATGTATATCACATATATATTAGGTCATATATGTAAGGCTACCAATACAAATGATATTACCCTGACTCTTTGCTCATATTATGTTATTCTATTTCAATAAATTTTAAAAAAAGCATTCCTACAACAGCATTTGAGAGCCAGAGGGTCGTAAGGCTCCACGTTTTTTGGAACCAATGAAAATAAACAAAAATGTAACAATTAGATGCATGACATTTGTTTTACGATCTTTGGTGTATAAGGAAAGTAAATTATTAATCCACTTTCGGATGTCTACATATTATGCTGCTATTATATGAGCCATGTAGTTACATCTAGAATTATTACATTCTGTTAACCTAATTTGAATTTTAAAATATTTTAACTATAAAATGTTTTTCACCAAAAAATAAATTCTCTTTTGAGATGGTTAGCTCAGTATTTTATCTTTATATGAGATGCTTAGTATTTTATATTGATTAAACTCCAATGATAACTTTGTTGCTAAGCATTCACAATGGGCAGCAGCTCATTATAAGATAGGTTTATTTAAAAACAGAATTTTAATGGCAGTTATCTTTAGCAAAGTTGATGGTCACCAATTTTTCTGTTTAAGGACTAAATTAAAATAATAGTTTTTAAAATGTGTACTTTTCAATTTATGCATCAATGAAATATCTTTATTTGCTGTATTTTTTTATTTATTTATGAAATAGGCATTCGAAGGTTTTACTGAAGGTCCAATAAACTTTCCCTGCACCTACAAGTATGACGTTTTTAGTGATGATTATGATACTAGTGAGAAGAACCGCATTCCAGCATATACAGATCGTGTTCTTTATAAGAAAAGCACCCTGCCTTACGGTAATATAGTGTGAAAGTGATATTTAGTCTTATAAATTTTGATATTTCATTGTTTGATACAGATTATTTTTTTGTTTTTTTTTCCTAGAAAATGATGAGGATCTGGGGCGAATTTCATTTTATGGACGTGCAGAGCTCAAAACATCAGACCATCGGTTGGTTTATTCATTATCAATCTTAATATTCACTAATTAATTAATGTTAAGATTAATAAGAGACGCAAATAGCGAATTAAATTATAATCAAATTATTTCCCTTTTATCAAGACCTCAAATAGTGTCTGCCTTGTTATTTTTTTAATCAATCTGTTTGTCTATTTTAATATTCAAAGTTATTTGTTGAGAAAACATCAGACCATAGATTAGTTTATTAATTTTCGATTTTAATATTCACTAATTAATTAACGTCAAGATTAATAAGAGACGTGCATATAGAGAATTAAATTATAATCAAATAATTGTCCTCTTATCAAGACCTCAAACAGTGTTTGCCTTATTATTTTAGTTATTTTTCTAATCAATCTGTTGGTTAATTTCAATATTCAAAGTTGTTTGTAGAGAAAACATCAGACCATAGGTTAGTTTATTAATTTTTGATCTTAATATTCACTAATTTATTAATGTCAAGATTAATAAGAGACGCACATATAGAGAATTAAATTATAATCAAATAATTTTCCTCTTATCACGACCTCAAACAGTGTTTGCCTTATTATTTTGGTTATTTTTCTAATCAATCTGTTGGTCAATTTGAATATTCAAAGTTGTTTGTAGAGAAAAAAAAAACTATTTTGACTTAAATGCCATGCAAAAGGTTATAATTGCAAATATTTAAGTCATTTCCATTGATTCTGTTATAGAATTATAAGTTTAAAACTGTACGTTTTAAAATTATCTTGCAGGCCTGTTATTGCTTATGTGGATATTAATGTTGCGGTTATAAATGGCCCCAAACGACTTGAAGTCTTTCAGTCTTTATTAGAGTCTGGACCTCCTGACGGCACTGTTATCATTCATATTGAAAACTGCAACGCTACAGATGAATTTAAATACCAGCTGTTAGAAAGACTATTTAAAGAGAAGAATGCATCTATAAGGTTAGTTTTTAATCATTACTTTTTTTTTAACACCGACTCCCTGATTATATATATATATAACTTCCTTCTGGCATTTTTCAGAATCTTTCAGTTTGATATTTTAGTCTGTTTTGAAACTGGAAAAGATGCCATAGAAGCTTTGGATTATAACAATAAGGAGGTAAACATATACATATAATTTACCAATTTTTCGCGAGGCTTGTATTGTGAATAAAAAACTCACTTCTTAGGTTGAAAATGATACAGAGAAACTTATCCTATGAAATTATCCTACAAATAAGTCTCCATAAAATTTATTATTAATATGAATTTCTTTATGAAAATAACAATTAACTCAAGTTGTAAGGTACAATAACTTTTGTTCTAATGAAGGGATTTTCAGGTATTTAAAACCAATTTAAATAGTTCAAAGGGTTGACCTTAGATATGCTAACTGCTATTTGCCAAACATGTTAACTAGTGCAGGGTTCTTAGTTGTCCTGATATTCCAATTTTTTGTTCAGAACTTAAATATTTAAACTAATATGCAATTTTATAAAAATCATTTGAATTTTTCTTTAATTGTTTTCAGTAGAAAAATATGAGAAAAATTACACTGATCAATATAAAACCAGCATGATTTTATTTTATCCGTTGTTGAACAGTCGACCTAATTTTGGGTTTATGACTACTAATGTTCAACTCCGTAGCCTTGTAATTTTGAACCAATCCAGAAGACAAGTAAACTCCTGGATCACTCTAGCCAGAGATATTGATTTGTTATGGGAACATGGAGGACTTTGCGACTCGACAGGTTTAATGATGTGCATCAGTCACCATTTACTACACGGGGAGTCTTCGGCGGGCAGGAATCGAACTCACGAACTCTTGGACATGGGCCCAGTGCCGTACCAGCCAGGTTATCCCGGCCTAGCATTATTTTATTCAAATGAAATCAGATACATGTAACAAATAAAAAATAATTTAAATGAGAAACGGTACCCTTTTCTCAATTTTTCCCTTTTTTTCAGTTGAACGTTCCCTTTTAAAAGTCGAACGTTCCTATGATTTTTCCCATATTTTAATGAATTATTGCTGAACAAAAATTTTCTTTTTGAACTGAACTCTTCTTAGAGAACCCTTTTCTAATTTTGTCATTTTACACCTCTTTTCATCATTAGCCAGTCATAGGCTCTTGACCCCAAGGTCATGCACACCAGGTATCTTTCATACATAAGAATCTAAATAAGAGCAAACTTTTTTAAGAACTTTTCTTTCACTTAACAATTTATTTCTTTTCCCTAACAAAATAATCTAACTAAGCATTTGCTGAACCTTAAAATATGCCTGATATATAGTGCCGCGAGAATCCTGTTGCGGCTCCTATGCTAGAAAATATAGTAAATTTATTTATTTTATGTGTCATTTTGGTTTCTTTTACGAGAGTCTCCTTAAACTTCACTGAATTTTATTTTTTTGTGAATTTTCTTCATTAAGAAATAAGGGTGGCATGCTACTCTTACATCTGTGCGACGAATTTCCTTCTTATAAAAAATCTTTTTTTCCTCTAATGATTTTGGTTTTGCAAAAAAAATGTTTAAAAATAAAATTTCCTAGTTTTCACTAAAAGTCTTCATTATCTAAAAATATGAAATAATACAGTGTAACGTCCCATATCCGGACATCCCTTTCCCGGAAGGGTCGATTTCCCAGACACTTTTTAACACTCAAAATAAACAAACATCTCTCCATCTTCCCCTTTCCTTTAAAAAAAAAAAAAAAAAAAAAAANGGTCTTTTGACACATTTTCTCTTTTTCTAGATTGCACTGAACCTCTGATTTATGCATCGAACCCATAAATCACCAGAAAGGGGAAGTGAAGATCTACCAAGATCATTGAGTGACGCTCCTCCCTAGGAATGTAGGAAAAAGAGAGAGATTTGTTTTCGAAAGACTGCAACTGAGTCCCCTCCCCCCCCCCTCCTCTCCCATGCAGGTGGCTAGTAAAAGAGGCATTTCCTGGAACCTTCTTATTGAAAGAAGAAATACTGTGAAAAAGGGTAAACGGGGTAAGCGTTAAGGTGGAGGGGGAGTCAAAATGGAAAATTTGAATAGGTCTAAAAGGATACACGTCCTTGAGAAACAAAACATTCGTTCTTCCCCATGCCATGTAATATTTAGGAGGCGGGGGGAAAAGGGGGTAACGTTCTTTCTTTAGCAGNTTAGTTTTTAATCATTACTTTTTTTTTAATACCATCTCCCTGATTATATATATCTAACTTCCTTCTGGCATTTTTCAGAATCTTTCAGTTTGATATTTTAGTCTGTTTTGAAACTGGAAAAGATGCCATAGAAGCTTTGGATTATAACAATAAGGAGGTAAACATATACATATAATTTACCAATTTTTCGCGAGGCTTGTATTGTGAATAAAAAACTCACTTCTTAGGTTGAAAATGATACAGAGAAACTTATCCTATGAAATTATCCTACAAATAAGTCTCCATAAAATTTATTATTAATATGAATTTCTTTATGAAAATAACAATTAACTCAAGTTGTAAGGTACAATAACTTTTGTTCTAATGAAGGGATTTTCAGGTATTTAAAACCAATTTAAATAGTTCAAAGGGTTGACCTTAGATATGCTAACTGCTATTTGCCAAACATGTTAACTAGTGCAGGGTTCTTCGTTGTCCTGGTATTCCAATTTTTTGTTTAGAACTTAAATATTTAAACTAATGTGCAATTTTATAAAAATCATTTGAATTTTTCTTTAATTTTTTTGAGTAGAAAAAAATGAGAAAAATCACACTGATCAATATAAAACCAGCATGATTTTATTTTATCTGTCGTTAAACAGTCGACCCAATTTTGGGTTTATGACTACTAATGTTCAACTCCGTAGCCTTGTAATTTTGAACTAATCCAGAAGACAAGTTAACTCCTAGATCACTATCCCCAGAGGTATTGATTTGTTATGGGAACATGGAGGACTTTGCGACTCGACAGGTTTACTGATGTGCATCAGTCACCATTTACTACATGGGCAGGAATCGAACCCATGAACTCTTGGACATGGGCCCAGTGCATTACCAACCTGGTTATCACGGCCTAGCATGATTTTATTCAAGTGAAATCCGATATGTGTATTAAATAAAAAAATAAGCTAAATGAAAAACGGTACCCTTTTCTAAATTTTTCCCTTTTCCTCAGTCGAACGTTCCCTTTTAAAATGAACGTTCCTACGATTATTGCTGAACAAAAATTTTCTTATTAAATTGCACTCTTCTTAGAGAACCCTTTTCTATTTTTGTCATTTTATACCTCTATTCATCATTAGCCAGTCATAGGCACTTGACCCCAAGGTTATGCACACCAGGTATCTTTCATACATAAGAATCTGAATGAGAGCAAATTTTTTTAAAGAACTTTTCTTTCACTTAAAATTTTTTTTCCCTTTCAAGATAATCTAACTGAGCATTTGCTAAACCCTAAAATATGCCTCATATTAAGTGCCGCGAGAATCCTGTTGTGGCTCCTATGCTACAAAATATAGTAAATTTATTTATTTTCTGTGTCATTTTGGTTTCTTTTACTAGGGTTTCCTTAAACATCACTGATTTTTTGTGAATTTTCTTTACTAAGAAAAAAAAGTGGCATGCTACTCTTACACCTGTGTGACAAATTTCCTTCTTATAAAAAGAAACATTTTTTTTTCCTTTAATGATTTTAGTTTTGCATAAATTTTGTTTAAAATAAAAATTCCTAGTTTTCACTAAAAGCCTTCAATTTTTAAAAACTTAAATAATAATATTGTATTCCACTCTATTTTCAATTTGTTTCCTTGTCACGATTATCATTATTATTATTTTTAAGTCATGAAAATAATTATATTATCTAGGAACATTCACCAAGTTTTGATACACCACAAATCTTAGTCGTTTTAAAATGCTTATATCATATTTTTATTGTAATTAATAATGATTAAACATAAATATTACTAAAAATCTCAAACATTTGTAACTGAGGGACCCCTCATTAACGATTCATCGTTCAGACTTTTTATTATCTAAGAAGAAAGAAGTTCGGCATTTTTGCTGTAAAAATATTTTTCTGAGATAAACTTACTAAAAGTTTTCAGTGGCAAATTATTTTCTCTTGTCCGTTACATTACAGTACATATATTTCCTATATTACTGTTACATATATTTAACTTATTACAGAATAAAAGCAATTTTAAATGTCTATTTACTTTAAGTAATGGTTTAATTTATTTTGATGATACTTGTTTTCTGTTTACGATGTATTATGTTTTCTTATAATTTTTTTTTCCTATTTCAGTAAATATTTCAAAGATATGATAGAATATTGCAAAAAGTAATACTATGAAGATGATTGAACTTTTAATCTAAATGAAAATATTAAGACAGATTGTGGCTAACTACATATTATATATACAGTACAGAACCCGTTATCCGGAAATCAGAAAACCGAAAAACCAAAAAACCGGAACGAAATTCGATAAATTTTCCCGCAATTTTTAAAAAAAAAAATTTTTTTTTCCTCATAGGATTTTAGGATTTTTCTTTCTTTTTTGAAAGATGTTTACCTTACCATCATTTCAGAAATAATCATTAGTGTATTACCTCATCGTTTTTTCTTATTTTTAAGATTATTTTCAAATATTTTTTTTTTTTTAGTTGGGTTTAACACTAAAAAAACGGCTTTTTGTAGCGATTCAGAAAACCGGAAAAATCAGTTATCCTGAATAGCGATAGTCCTGATCGTTCCGGATAATCGGTTCTCTACTGTATATATATAGGTGGTAAATCTCTAAATATGAAAGGGGTGTAATGTTTAATAAGAGAAAGTTTTTTTTTTTTTTTGTGTCTAGTTATTTAAAATATCATTTGCACTAATTGACTAAAATTTCTAGTGCCTATTCATCTAACAACTTGGGTTGCAGCTTTAAATCTGATAAGTAGATCAAAAATTTGCCTATGTATTTTTTGTGTATTAAAATAAAATTCATTACATACAACAACTGATTAATAACAAAAAAAAAAGTAAATTCTTATTAAAATAATATCATTAGGGGGAGAAACTAGGTATGATTGTTATCAAGAACAGAAGTTAAAAATTTATATAAAAATGATTTTTTTTAATACTGATCGACTAGAAAATGCAACTTTTTTTTTTTTTTTTTTTTTTTTTTTTTTTTTTTTTTTTTTTTTTTTTTTTTTTTTT